AAGCACCTCTTTTCAACTTACTGTATTCAAGCAACCATATCTTTTTTTTCCCAGCTCCTTTGGCTGCTTTAGAATCTGCTTTTGGCTGTGCACAGCCGTTCTGCTTTGCTGGGGAAAATACACCTAAGTTTGTACCTATGCAAAGCTTCTTTTTTTCTGAATTAAAAGGCAAACAATCATACTGTTTCCTCTTCAGTCAGCTGCAGTCTCACCAGTGCTTTGTCTGACAGAAAACTCTGAGCTCTTTTATCATTTTATCTTTTAGCACTAGTGATCTAATTTATTTTTTTGCATGTGGAGAAGCCCATCTGTTATTATATAAATGTACTAAGAAACAAAAAAAAGTCAAAAAATATGGAAAAGCTTAGATATTTTTTTTTCTTTTTATGACCCTTTGTTTCCTTTATTTGGGGTGGAGTCAAGGCGACTGCATGGAGCAGAAAATTTACTGGTTGGATACCCTTCCTGACACCTACGTGGAGCTCACAGCAAATATTTTCTTTTTGTTCCCCGAAACAGAAATATCTGCCACTGCCTAGGATTGAACTCTTAACCTTCTGAGTGGGAGGCGATCAGAACCTATATAACACTTGGAAAACCTTGTTCACCATAACAATTTACTGAATTCCCACTTCCAAAATCAGTATATCAACTGGAATAAAGCTATCCTTAACATTTGCACTTGTCTAGTTTCTGAATATGCCATTTTTCAAATGTTGGAATTGATTGAAGTGAGACTCAGTAAGTCAAAACTATACTATACCTCCATGCTAAATTTCATTTTTAATAACTTTGCCTTTTTTTTTCTTTGCTTTTCAGTAGCTGTCTTCAGGGCTGCTTTCTCTCAGAGGACTCTGCCTAACCTGTAAGATCTACATGTTTCAAATCCATTTTTGAAGGAGCATTAACGCCATGGGCCATACGGAATGTGTTGTCCTTTGTGGTCCCTTTCTATAGGATCAATGCTCCATCAGAGATTGCATTGGCACTACCCTACCTGGTATTTAGGAAAGTCCCAAAGAGTTGGCTATTTCGGAACAATTTAGGGATATTTATTTTACTTTAAATTTATATTTTTGGACTGACCACATACCAATCTTTCTGGGCTGCATACTAGGATCAAAAATTGCCTTCCCAGCCAATTTGAACTGACAGGTTGGTGCAGTACAGGTTCCTTCATTTCAACAATGTGTTCTATCAGAAATGTGTATCTTTGGTCACTCTGCCTGGTTTATGCAATGAGATCTGGATGGCTCCCACCCTGTTGGCATTTTGAAGGGCCATAAACATCTGCTATTCTCCCAGGCTGTGGGCTAGAGATGTTAGTGATCACATTGCTGGATTTTAGATTTTGGTGGGATGGTTTGGGGTTTCTGGGTTCACCAACTTCCTCCTTCCCTCCCTCCCTCCCTCCCTTCTGTGGCTCACAATACACAAAATAATATAATAAGAAAAGTAAACAAGAAAACAAAACAGGAAGGAAAGAAGGTTTAAATCCACAAATAAGGTTATATAAAGGACTGATAACATGGTGGTTCATCCCCCCTAAAATATACACTTTTTATTATAGGAAGTAATATTCCTTGGTATGATGGAGGTAAGCCTTATTTGTTTTTGTGTTACAGTATTATCGTTTTTTAATTTTATTTCATGTTTTCATTGCATTGGAGTATGTATGTGTTGTTTACAGCTATTTGCAGCTGAAGCAGCTTAGAAGCCAAAATAAACAAATAGCATGTATAATTATATTCAATTTCTGAAATGATCTTATACATCAAGCACACTTTATTTATTGTGAAGATCAAAATTAAGGGAAACCTCTGCCTGTCTATCCATCATCTGTCTCTAGGATCTCTCCCTTTCTCTGTCTCTCTCTCTTGTCTATCTATCTATCTATCTATCTATCTATCTATCTATCTATCTATCTATCTATCATCTTTCTTCTTCTTCTTCTTCTTCTTCTTCTTTTTCTTCTTCTTCTTCTTCTTCTTCTTCTTCTTCTTCTTCTTCTTCTTCTTCTTCTTCTTCTTCTTCTTCTTCTTCTTCTTCTTCTTCTTCTTCTTCTTCTTCTTCTTCTTCTTCCCTATCATCTACCAGTACAAACAACAATTTAATTTGCTCTCTTGGTACCTGATAGCTAGCATGAATGAGATTAAGAGGGAGTTAGAAGTTCAAAGTCAAGAAGTTGACCAGGGAATTCTGGAACTCCCAGGAAAATACTTTTATTAGAATTGTACACAATGGAGAGCCTAAAACAATTTCACACCATGACAAGTGCACCTCACAAAACTGGCATGCCCTTGAAACCAACTGTGAAGCCAACCACCTATAAATAAATCATCCACCTATCAAATATTTCTAAGCACAGGGCTTTGAATCCAGAAGGACAGAAAGAATTCAGAGATCATTTTGGGCATTCTTATGTAAGTCTCCATTCTTACTGAGACTTTTATATAGGTTGAAATACTTTCCCTCTTTCCTGTTGTATGTGAAACTCAAAATTGCCTTAAAAAGTTAAAACTTTCAGAGTTGGAACTGAACTGCATTTCCAATAATAGAATAACAGAGTTGGAAGGGACCTTGAAGGCTTTCTAATCCAACCCCCTGCTCCAGTCTCTTCTTTAAAAACCTCCAGTGTTGGAGCACTCACATCTTTCAGAGCTTTTTGACAGAGCAAATTTATTTGAAGTCAATTCAAGTTTATGAAAGTTCAAATGACACTCCAAAAGGTTACCCACCCAACCCAAATAGGGCTCTGATCAAATCCAGGGATCTGATCCTTCAGGGGAGACCTTAAATCAATAAATGGATATTAGAAGCTGGGAAGAACTAAGCCTGTCCCCAATGACAAGCTGCTTGGTTTGCAGTTAGTTAATTGATGGTTCAACCGGTTGCCTTTGTCTCTGTCTCTCTGTGTGTGTCTCTCTCTGACCCTCCCTCCCTCTCCCTCCCTCTCTGTGTGTGTGTGTGGGTGTGTGTGTGTGAAAGAGAGAGAAAAAGAGAACTGAGTGAGGAATAAGCATATGTAGATATTGGACTTGTGTGTTCAAATCTGGATAAGGATTACGCTTTTTGTAAAACATTCTGAAGTTATTCTAATGGAGCTGTGCTTGAGAGCATTAATAAAATGTTGCATATCTGCTATATTCTTGAGGAGGATAAACTAGTACTATGGGAGGAATAAACAGTAAAAATATGCTTAGCATGACTAAGGTGCGGTATTTGAAACAAACAATGGCTGGGTTTCTTTCTTTCTTGGTCTTTTTTTAATAATTGTATTGTCTCTTGCTTGTAAACCTGAGGAAGCAGAATGTAGTATGTAACAACATACATGGTAATGAGTATGCAACAAGTCTCTGGTATTTTGGAAATTGTTTCCATTATCTATTGGGAGATATTTAATGCGAATAACATCTTGCTTATATGTTCAAGGTTTCTTGAAGGCAAAGACTTCTTTAATTTTTTTTATTTTACAACTATCATGCAGGCATTTGGTGGGCTCCACTAATCTTGTGTGTGCTGCAAAAGATGGATGAACCAAAATAAATCTACAGATTTATGTGAAATTCAATGCTAATAAAGAGGTTTTGCCTTAGCCAAGTAGACATGTAAACAGCACTAGGGCAAGGGTACAGTCTGAGTGCAGTGGCACTGGACACCATACCTCAAAACAGGTCATGTGGATAACAGGACAAACCCTATGATTGAGAGTGAGCCCTGCTGGCACAAGGGGTTGGAATGCAGTATTGCAGACTAACTCTGCCCACAGCCAGGAGTTTGATCCTGACAGGACAAACTCAGCCTTCCATCCTTTCGAGGTTGGTAAAATATGGACTCAGATTGTTGGGGGCAATATGCTGATTCTGTAAACAGCTCAAAGAGTGCTGTAAAGTGCTGTGAGGTGGTATATAATTCTAAGTGCTATTGCTAGTGTTGTTGCTATGATAGGTTGATATGGAAATGCCACTATTAGGCACACGTGCAAACAAGTGAGGGACTTTCCACTTGCTTAGAAATATGTCAATGACCAAACATGGATCAGCCAATGCAACTCCATCATTTGTAACAACTTGTGTGAAACTGACTATATGATCTTGCTGGAAGTGTATTTGGGGTCTTTCAACTGGTCATGTCTCTTAATGTAGCCTTGCGTTTCTGACCAAGATTCTGCAAGTTCTTAAAACATTTTAGTTTTTTAATCAGTGTCCTGATTGAGTAAGGGAAAGAATCCAAACCTCCTAATTTAGGTGGGAATGAAGGGAATAGGATCCAACAATACTTTCAAGTCAGTCTTGATTCCTAGCAACTGCCTGGAACATCTCTGTAGATTTCTTAGCAAGATTTTTGGAAGTAGGTTGCCATTGCCTCCTTCCCAGGGCTGAGAGAAGGACTGGTTAGCTTGCTTCATGCCTTAAGCAGGCCTAGAATTCACAGGCTCTATTTGTTATCATAATAATTACAATTGTTACAATCCCTAAAGGGTTCCAAGTACAGCTTTTCTACAAAAGTTTAACAGGTGCAAAATGTACCATGAAGTTATTACATACCTAGTAATGTCTTTGCTCTAGCTACATATTCCTCAGAATGTTTTTAAGATCTTTCTTTTTGTCATCCCCTAAAGCAGGAGTCTCCAACCTTGGCAACCTGAAGACTTGTGGACTTCAACTTCCAGAATTCCCCAGCCAGCATGGATAGCTGAGGAATTCTGGGAGTTGAAATCCACTAGTCTTCAAGTTGCTAAGATTGGAGACTCCTGCCCTAGAATAAGACTGCACATTTCCTTTATGGACCATAAAGTCCAAGATAAACTCACAATACCTCAAAGTAGGCTAGAGGTCTTCCAGAGGCCATCTGCACACGCTTCATGTACCTTTATCCCCCCTCTCTTAGGTCCAAGTGGGCTCTCCAATGCTTGGAGGGAAAAATCAGCAAGAGTCTGATAGAGTTTTTTCTAATGAATAATCAGCAAGTGTTTAATGACTTGGACAAGTGACTCTTACCTTGTCCCGAATCCCTTGCCTCACAACTTCTCGTTCAGCCTCCATCTTGGCATATTTCGCTTTCCTTTCTTCTTCCTGCTGTCGGAGTGCCTCCTGTCGTTCTTCTTCTTTCTTGGCAGCATCAGGATCCTTCTCCTCCTCTCCTCCCAACATCTTCCCCATGTCTTTGGTAGCCCCTAATGAAAAAGCAGAAGGCCAAGATTGTGATAGTAGCTCTGCTGGTTTATTATATTGTTCTTGGATTTGACCCTTTTGTAGAAGGAAGGTAAACTACTAGTTTGGATCACCTGCCTCCTATTTCCTGGACTCTAAAACAATCATGTGATGTGGATTGGGATGAGAGAGAGGATCTGGCCCAAGGTCATCCAGTTGGCTTCCGTTCCAAGGGCAGTACTAGAACTCACGGTCTCCCAGTTTCTAGGCCAGCCTCTAAACTGCCACTTATTAATAAGACTTTTTGGCTTATTGAGAGATGCAGCATCCCATAATCCAGGGAAATGTTACCAAATAAAAATCATAAACCATGGAAACTGTGCACAGTTTTTGTTGGCTTGTGTGAGCCAAACCAAACCTACTTAATCCATTCTACTCCAACCCTTAAGGGAAAAGCCATGGCCTTTTGGAAGGTTAAAATGGTAAGGACCACTCAAATCTTAGCTAGGACACTATTCCAAAGGCCAGGGATGCTACCACGAAGGACCACCTCTGAGTTCCCATTAGATGACAGCATAAAGGACTAAAGCATGCCTACCCTATCTGACCTAGTGGAATGTGGAGATACTCTTGGAGGGGCAGTTCTGCAAATAAACTGGCCTTGTGCCATGTTGGGTTTTAAAAAAGACAGCCAGCACCTTGAACTATACTCAGAAAGCAACTGGGAGCCAGTGCAGCTCATGCAGTAATAGCATAACTCAAATGAACTGTGAAGCATCCAGAACTGAATTCTGGACTAGCTTCAGCTTCCAGTCATCTTTAAGAACTGCCCAGTGTAGAGCACATTGCAATTCAATTTGCTGGTGGTATGGAAAGCTACCCTAAATTAAGCATTTTGATTTTCCCTGTATATCTTTGTTAGATAAATGAAGCTATGGTGGCTTGAATTCTGTTTGGTTTATCCATAGGTAGAACTACTCTGATTGTAATACAGTACTTGGGGAACTGGAATTCAGACATACAGAAGCAGAAGAAAATATATGATTCATGCTTCTTAGTGCTGTTTTATAAGACATTATTAGAATCCAATATAAACTTAGTCTGAGTGCATCTGAAGGCTTAGGCAAGACTGCAATTCTGTTTTGCTTTTTAAAATTGAAGATGTTATCCAGTACAATTATAGGAAGTGAGATTGTTTGAGTCAACTCAAGCAGCCATGTAATCCAACATCATATTTTAGATATTAGTTCCACTTGTCTCATGGAACCACCCAAATAGGCATGATGGTAATTATCTTTCATTGCCTGTTTACAACATCAAACAGTTGAAAGTAAACTAGAAACATTGAGGGTCCAGTTAGTCATAGTTAACCTTCCTTCCTTCCTTCCTTCCTTCCTTCCTTCCTTCCTTCCTTCCTTCCTTCCTTCCTTCCTTCCTTCCTTTCTTTCTTTCTTTCTCTTTCCTTCTTCCTTCCTTCCTTCCTTCCTTCCTTTCTCTTTCTTCCTTCCTTCCTTCCTTTCTCTCTTTCTCTTTTTCCTTTTCTCCCTCTCTCCCTCTCTCTCTCCTTAAGCTAGTGTGCATCACTGTATCTTTTTTTATAGACATCTAAAAGTTAATTATTTCTCTAAAGCAGGCAGAATTATTTTTATTAAAGAAAATATCCTTGACATTTTAATAATCAAGTCATTACATGACAGCCTTTTTTTCTAAAAAAAGGGAGGAGATTATTATAGTTGAACAACTTATTTTATCTGAACCTTAATTGAAGGTCAATAGAGCTTATTAAAAGAGTGAATCAATCCAGAGCGGGATGGGGAAGTGTATTGCTGTGTTTTCAAGGATAAATAATTAATCCCTCCTTTAACAATCAAAAATTTTCCCCCTGTCCTATTCAGTTGTGTAGAAAGGTATCTGGGCAGGTAAAGAATAAACATTAGCCTATTGCAAATCTAGGTAAGGGGAAGACCTGTTTATTTACAAGGACAAGATCAGATCTTTCAAAAACCATGATAAATAAGTCCAAGCATAGATGGAGAGGGGTGAATCCTGTTTCCTATTCCTCTGCCTTTAGGGATGCCTTGGTTTCCCCTGCATCCTCTACTGTCACACATTCAGTATTTAGTTTAGCAATACTTGTGTCTGCTACCCAGCTTGCTCTCCAGCTGTGAAACCCTTCAGATACATGTTGGTGGTGCTACTGAATGTTTTGTTCCAACAGAAGTCCAATTCTCCAAAATGAAGTCACGAGAGAGAGAGAGGGGGGGGAGAGGGAGGGAGGGAGAGAGAGAGAGAGAGAGAGAGAGAGAGAGAGAGAGAGAGAGATGGAAATGCTGGCAAATATGGCCACCACTGCTATAGATGCAAACAGATTATTTTGAAGTCCAGGATGTATTGTGTTGGGAAAATGCTGACAAGTGGAGAAGATAGAAGATAGAAGACATCTGGATAATGTCCAGATAGCAGATTGCAACATCCAACTTTCGTTTGTGACCATATTTATTCCATTGGAGAAATCAGGTAATTTTGCCAGCCAACTCAAGAAATATAAATTGAGCAGAATCTTTTAAGAAAGCATCCATAATTAGAGAGATAGTTTGCTCAGAAGATCAGAAGGCCACTGTTTTGCTTTATGAAATGGAAGAACATTTTCACAATCATTTAATTATTTGAGAGCTACGGTATTGTGCTTAAGACTTCTGACAATCAAGTATTATCAATATATGTGGGGATTGCTTACAGAATACACAGCCATCATTAGTTATGACATCTGGAGATTACACATATTGTAATATCAGTACATCAAAGATGCTAAATTGGAAAAACCTGCCAGGTACATATTTGAATTACATATTTTTAAAGCATATGTATAATTTTTATTGAGAATTTTTCCATGGGTAAACGACAGATATAAAGGAAAAGGGAAGGGCAGGAGAAGGGAGAGAATACAAAATAAAAGTACAAAAAGTAAAAGAAGGAAAGAACATTAAAGAATCATGAATCAGAACAATCCTGTTGTGTTCTGGATATGTGGCTTTGAGTCCAGCTGTGAAACAAACATTTGTTCCCATCTTGTCGTTCTTTTCCTTTATTCATGTTGGTATTATTATTTTTTACTTGTTTTACTGTAAATAAACAAGGAGTTTGCTATGATTTCACAGAGATCAAAATATGTCACAACAGGTATGTGGTTTAATTGATAGAAACAACTTTCATCGTAGCACATGCAATCTGTTTTTCAAATGGCTTTGTTCTACTTTCAGAAATGCATTTTCTCTCCCATTTCAGATACTTCTGTTCCTCCATAATATGTTTCAGAGGGGTTTCTCCCTTTCTTCAAAACACATTTTGTTTATTTTATTGCAAATTTAAAAAAAAAAGATACCAGATCTTCCAAGAACCATGTTAAGCATAGATGGAGAGAGGTGATAAATTCTGTTTCCTATTCCTCTGCCTTTAGGGATGCCCTAAATATTTACTAAAAATACTTTACTATACTAACGCCAAGCTTTCGCCGTCACCTGCCGGCATCCTCAGGGCTTAAAACGCCAGAGAGTGAGAGAGTCTCTTATAAGCAAGCCGGAGTCTGCGCCCGGCTCCTTGATCTCGTCATCGGACCTAATTGGCTAGATTGTGCTCCAGTGATTCGTTTCTTTCTGAACCCCTTTTTTCGTGTGTGTCCTCATTTGCCTTCTTTTCTTTGAACTCTAAGGTAGGTGGAGCAGCCTCCTTGCCTCTCTGATTGTTTTTATTCTCTCCCTCGGGTTTATCTAGTGGTTTGCATTTCTCCTTCTCCTTTTCCCAATCCACATCTACGCGGCTATTCTCTCTGTGAATGTTTTCCCTTTCATCCCTAGTACCTCCCCCTCATGCCCAACTGCTGTCAAGATGGTCATATGTAACACTCTGGGTTAGCTGGGGTATAGTAGTAAACTGGGGTGGTTCAATAAGTTGTTTGCCCATGTAATCAGTCTCGTAAATGTGGCCATACCCAGTCATCATACTCCTCCCCCCCTTTCTTTCGTCTTCTGTGCCCTTTTTCCCCGCGCTGTAATCGGAGGCCTCGGTCTGGGGGGAGGTGAGGTTGTGGTCTTTCCGAACGTCACAGCATTCCTCTTCTACCCTCCTCCTCACTCCGTTGTCTCTCGTTCTTACGTGCATGTGACAAAGATCTTTGGAGTCAATGGGTGCTGCCGATATGAGGCGCGGTAAGCCGATCTCACAAGGTCCGCCCTCTCGTGCATTCCTCCATCCGGGTTCGCTCCTCTCCCCACTCCCCAGAGCATCCATCAACTCGCAGTCACCCCTAGAACCATCCCACACTCCATACGTTCTCAACTCGGTCGGCATTGCAGAACGGAGGGGTCGTCCCATCTTCTTCGGATCGATCGTCCTATTTCTCTCGAGCCGTAGATGAGGTGTTAGCTTTAACAATCCCCCCCATCTCCGTCTATAATGCTTTCTACTGCACCAATTGGGGAATCCCTGATGTTCGTGGTATGGGGATTCTGGGCTTTGGTTTTTATCGCCCTCCTGATCTTTTGAGAGCGCGTCAATATTGTGGAGGTGGTGGGGATTCCCAGACGTTGTTCTTCCTCTTCTGGGTTGTCCACGATTAGTCAGGGGGTTGGCATATCCTCTTTAGTTTTTCCACTGGACCTGCTGTCGGGCCGTCGGTAGCGGGGTGGGTAACTGGCCGCACTCCATGATCTTAATGTCAAGTGTGCCGAGCAGAGGTCAATGTGCCGATTAATGGAGTTACTGTTGGAAAGCCATGCTTCTTTAAGTAGCTGGCCTCCCTTTGTACTATCACTTGCCAAGATGCATACCTCGTTAAAGTTAAAGCGGTGGCCCAATTCCACCATATGGACCCATATCTGGGAGTGCTGCTCGCCCCTTTTCACTGCTAGTTTGTGTTCGTGGACCCTAGTCTTCACTCGTTTGGAAGTCTCCCCAACATAGTTGCACGGGCAGTCCATACAATCGATCTTATACATGGCTGCCGATCTTTCCATGCTGGGGAGCG